GTAAATGTTCATTTAAAAAAAAAAAGAAGCATAAGAATTTTAAAGAATTGCTCTAAGATAATCCAAACCTCAGCCCTCTTTACACTATGTAGCATTTCCAAAGATGTTCTGTGTGGCACTAGTTCGTTCTACAAGACGCTAATAGATGCTCCACAAAAAAAGAGTTCTGTGATCAAATATGTCTAAGAAAGATCGTTAAAAACTAGTCTTTGTTTTTGTGTCTACTAAGACTTCACAAGCAGAGCTCTGGTGGCCCAGAGAGTAAGAAGTTGCAAAGGCAGGTGATTCAAATCCACTAGCTGCTCCTCAGAAGATGCATAATCTCCTGTGTGATTTACAGTCTCTAAAACCAACCACAAGGTCAGCAAGGAGTCGGTTCTGAATTGACAACAATGAAAACACACGCATGCACACCTCCAACAACCTTTAATGTACTATACTATACATTATAGTCTTTCCCAGGACATCCTGATTCTATATTATATGATTATGTTTTTTCAAAACTGCACTATCAGCCAAAACATAACTAATATTAGAATGTAAATAATCATGAAAAGAAGCATCTAGTGACTATCGTCTCCCTACATGTCCAATATTTTTATCAAATACCATGGTAGATGCAAAACGAAAAATAATCTTTTGCCATCAAATTATCACATATGAAATTATATAAGAAAGAGAGAAAGAGTTAGAAATACAAAGCACTGGCTAAACAACTAACAATCAATCAGCTAAGCAGCCAAAAGAATCTAATTTTGATTGGATTAGGGCAGTTTTACTTCATTGAAGATGACGGAAGGGAGAAGCGAAGCAAATGTTAAAATAAAACTGTGTTACAAAAACCTAGTTTCAGCTTTGGTTAAAATATTGAATAAATTCCATTTTATTAATCTAGACCATTGAAAAACATTTAAATCTTTAAGGAGTTTAGAAGTCATCCCAACTTCACTCCATCCCTAAGTTTATTAACTAGTTTTTCAGGTAATGAAGAGTTCAAAGTAATTTCAGTTACTAAGAAGAAATGCCTTAAAGAGCTATTTTTATTGAGCCTGAATATATACAAAAGGACAGAAAACAAACAGAAGATGCTAACAGAATATACCAGGAAAATAAAAAATATGTTTTTAAGTAGTATGAATTTTTGAAAATCAAATTAAGATAAATGGTTTATACTTACCATTTTTATTTGCTGGTGAAAAAAAGTTGAAGACCGGAGAAAATATGGTCCCCAACAATGTAGTCCGTGGAGGACTGCCGGTGGAAGTATTATCTTCTAATTTTCCGTTTTGTTTTACATGTGGATTTGTCATGTCATAACTACCAGCTTCTGAGAAAGAAACAGGGGGGGGGGGGGGGGTTTGTGCGGGGAGAAGGGTGCAAGAGCTAAGTCCTAGAAAATAGTGACTTTTAAAAATATATTCAAAATAATTCCTTTTTTAAATAACTTCCCCCCTTCAAAATAATATAGATTGAGTGATATTCTGGGTAGAAATTCTGAAGTAAAATACAAATTTATTCATACTGCTTCATGAATGTCATATTTATGGAGGTTTTTCAAAGACTTGCATCTAAAGAACAAGTGAAAACTTCTATTGTTATTTATTTTTATTTTGAGATGCATCTTGAATCATAAAATCATCCCTTCTCATTACTTCTAATGCATAAAAGCTAAATAAATATAGTTCTAATGAATCAGGCATAGCAGTGTAAAAATTTACTTGTGGATATCAAGATAATAGTTAGGAGTAGTTAAGGATAACCAGTTCTTAAATTTCAAGCTTTTTTTTTTTTTTCAAATTAAGACTATTTTTAAAATGTTCTGATAAATCATTTATTTGACCTTTCAAAATTTTAAAACTTGGCACCCACTGTGTTTGTTTTCTGCTCTTTTGGGGGGAGCTCTGGTGCATAATCCTAAGGGGGTTGTGCTCCTAACCCAAAGGCATTTTGAAACCTCCAGTGGCTCTGAGGGAGGAAGATGGGTAATCTCCCATGTAATTACAGCCTCCTAAAAACCCAGCAGAGGGTCAGCTATGAGTAGGTTCCAACTTGATGGCAATGAATTTTGATTTTCTGCTCTATAACCCCTTTCTTATCTTATATCCTTCAGCTCAAATCGTCTCTTCTCCCCAGTAGTGACGTCTAACAAAAAGACCTATCACTGCATTAGGTGTATGTATGTGTTTGTGTAGATCAGGGTAGTGGTGGTGGTATTGTTAACTGGTGGCTGTTGTTTTAGACAGCAATGGTTGAAAGATGGCACTCAATAATCTTCAGTGTTATTTTTCAAAGTTTTTTCTCTTTGATTTTCTTGTTATGCTTTATTCTTTCTGACTCTGAAGAGCATCTTAGCCACATGGTAATGACCTAGAATAGTGTTTTAACAGTAGCACTACTGATATTTGGGCAAGGTAATTTTTTTGGGGGGGCGGGGGCTATTTTCTATAGGATAATAAGGAACATCCCTGGCTTCTACCGGTGAGACACCAGTAACAAACTCCTCTCATCATTTCTGACAACCAAAATAGCCAACAGACATTGACAAATGTTCCAAAGAGTACAAAATAGTTCCAAATGAAAACCACTGAACAGAGTGATCCAAAACCCCTCTGAGTCCTCGAAATTTCTTGACTCAGAAATTTTTTGCACACTTTTCAATTAAGTCACAATTATTGCTTTAAGAAATGATTAGAGATAAAAATATTGCTTCATATATATTTTAATTCTAAGCAGAATAAATAAAGTTAGCTTTTTATCCTTGCTTTACTTTGTCAAGCATGACTTTAGAAAAATAAAAATAAACATAGCAGGTAAGATTTCTACTTATAACTAAATAAACAATTAACTAAGTATTAACAAACCTCCATTTACTTGACTTTTCCGTCTTACTCGAGCTATCTGTTTGTTAGGCTTTTCTCCTGTTCTTGGTGTTGATGTGATCAAAGTATTATCTATATCACGTTCAATTCTACTTCGTTTCGAAGGATTTTCTCTTTCTTCCTTAAGATATAAGAAGGGGGGAAATCACTTAACAGTCATTCTGTCTCAGATGCTGCATTTTAAAACAGTAAAATATGGTATACTATGTTCCACCAATTTTTCTTATACAGGAGAAACAAATGCAATTACTATTTAAGAGTAATAGAAAACATAAGAAAATCTGCGTGTTTAGAGACTATTTACTAATGCAGTTTACAATACATAGATACAATTACAATATTGCCATAATTCATATCCTTCCTCCAGAATCCATTAAATTTTCCATGCTATTGAATCATACAATGTGCTCTGAATTTTAAGCAAGTTTTCCTTATTCTTAGAATTTTGCTAAAGGACAGAGATTCTTCCTTGTGCATTCAGGGTAGGAGAGAGTACTCTACTTCAACATGCTGGCATATTACATATTATCAAAACCGACAAAAAGAATAGGACCTGCCAGTGCCACAGACCCCTACCAACATCAGTACTGTAAATGTCCAAACTAATATCAAGAAATTTACCTCTTTAACAAAGCTTTCTATTCACTGCCTTCTATATGGCAAGTTCATACAACCAACTTATATTCTTCCAATACTGACTAAAAGAGTAGTGCCTAAATTGGTTTTTTCCCCATTTATAAATCTATTGTTCTTTGTTTCAAAAATTTTTCTAAGGTCATTTAAAACAGGACTGATTGCCTTATATTACTATACTGCTTTATACTTTTTAATTATACTATATTGTCTTATAATTCCTTGTGCCTTATAACTCCTTGCTGTTCTGATTTACATATAATCAACATTTTTTCAACTGTAATAATCTTTCTCTGCATTTTATGCTTTTAATTAAAAACAACTAATATTTTATACATTTTAGAATGGCTATACTATTTCTGGAAGAACTAAATTATTTAGCTCAAAACTACACATACACACACCCTTCGTATAGAATGTTACTTTTATTAGTTTTTCCTAATATTAAGTCATGAACAAGTCAATATAACATTCTACCAAAAATAATGCTTCAGTGATCTAATTTAACAAAACTTTAAATTTTTAAACTTTTCATTCGCTTGCATTTTAAAATGATGAATATGAAACCTGTGTATCAAAACTATACACACACAAAAGGGCCTTTTGTTTGTATAGCAACCAAACCAAGAGCATTCTCTTGATGAAATAAAAAATTTAATTCCTATGATTTAGGATCTCCTTGACAATTCAGGAAAAAAACATATATAAACCAACACAACCATACTTTACTGACATTATTCCTTTATTTACCAATAATGTGTAACTGAGGATATGAAAGCACCAAATAGCATAAAACTATAGTCAAATAAAAAGACATTAAAATCTTCAGCTTGTCTTTTTTAGAAAGATTAAAGTTAAAATTCTACAGTCATTCACAATAAAATACTATTCTTCAAAACAGTGCAGTCAAGTGATGGTGTTCTAATTTTGAATGATGATTCTTTACATATCTTTTACCTTGTGGACATTTCTACATAAGAGTTTTAGAAGAGAACCAAAGTTTCTACATTACTTTATAACTTATTTTACTAAATTTAACAGTCCTGCAAGGTCTTCTTTAGAACTTGAATTTTTAAAAGTAATCTCTAAAATATGCTTTTAAAGAGAAAATTCTGAGAAGACAATGGAGGTGGCATAATTCTTAAATTTCTCAAATTCCAAAGTAAAAAAGACCAAAAACCAAACCTGTTGCCATCAAGTTGATGCTGACTCATACTGACCCATCTATTACACAGTAGCTATTTTGGCTGTAATATTTACAGAAGTATGTTGGTAGACCTTTATGTACAGCACAGCTAAGAGGGTTCAAACTCCCAATCTTTACATTAGTGGTCAAGTACAAACTATACCACTCAGACACCTGCAGTGAACTAGACTACCAAAATTCCAGAGAAAGGATTCACAACAGAACCAGAAAGAGAGACAATTGCTACAAAGCCAAAAATATACATAGATACAAGCAAATTACCAAATGCTACACTTGAGTTTAATAAGCATCAGAAGAAAAAAGCAATTATGTGATGGACTGAAAATAGGGAACTCCAAAACAGTTAACAGAGACTTATCAGAAAGTACTGCACGCCAATTTGAAAACAGGTGCTGAAATACAAGCTGCTTAGCAGAATAGTAAAGGTGTCCACGGTACAAACTAACTACAGTAGTCTAGCTACTGTCTTGAACTTCTGAACTTGCCCAACCATGGCTCCAACCTAGATTAGAGTCCATCATTGAGTAGAAACCAACTGGAAAAGGACTGGAAAGTCATGGGTAGCGAAGAAGGCCAGGAAAAAAGTTCTGGAGTAAAAGGAAAGAAATAGAAAAACTCAAACACAATATGATTTTTTTTTAATTTTTATTTTATTATTTCTGTGTGAGTGTACCGTCAAATCAGATCTGACTGGTACAGGAGGCCAATATGATTTTTTAACGCTATACAAAATATGAAAACAAATTTTAAAAGGTAATTTCACATAAAAATACAAAAGTAAAAAAAATCACATAAAATAAAGTCTAATAAAACTTTTATAGATTAAGAAAGTGTATCAGAAAGACATTATAAAGAACAGATCAAAACAACAGCCTATTTCAAAAGAAGACAAAAGATATTAAAGAAAACAATAGTTAACACTGACAATGATGGGGAGTAATAAGAAATCTCATTCACTGCTGATAGGAATGCAAAATGTTGACATTTTGTATGACAGTTCAGCCATACATGTATAGGTGAACCATACAATCTAGTAACTACACTCAGGTATTTACCTAAATGAACTGAAAATGAGAAGCCTAAACAATAACCTATGCACAAACTTTTATGGTAGCTTTATACACAGTTTTAAAAAATTGAAAGCAGTAATGAATGGACAAAGAATGGAATCCATAAGTGATGGATAAACAATGGAATGTTACTCAGCCATAAAAAGGTATGGAAAAACCTTAAAGGCACATTACTAAAGGAGAGAAGTCAGCCTGAAAAAACGACATATTTTATGATCTCAACAATATGACATTCTGGATAAATCAAAACTACACAGATAATATCTGATAGCCTAGTGGTAAGAAGTGCTGTAATTCTGAAGGTATGTGGTTCAAATCTGCCAGCTATTCCACAGGAGAAAGACTTGCAATCTCCTCACATGTGATTAACTGCCTCTGAAAACCTGCTGGAGCATTAGCTTTGAGTTGGTTCCAAATCAACATCACCACCACCATCACACAGATAATATAAAGGAGTTTGTGGAAGTGGGTTAGGGATAATAGGTCAAGTACAGGGGATTTTCTTTTGAGGATTTCAGAAACTGTTCTGTCCCACACTGTGACAATATTGGTCTTCTATGATATTGTGCAGTTATCAAACCCCATAAAATCATACAACACAAAAATAAATACTTGTGTAAACTAAGGTATTCTGCTGACACTGATGGTTCAAACCCAAAAGCTGCTCTGTGAGAGTTAAGATGAGGCAGTCTGCTTCCACAGAGATTTATAGCCTTGAAACTGTCCCTCTGGGCAATTCTATTATCCTTGTAAGATTGAGTCAGAATCTACAGAATGTCAACCGGTGGGTTTTACGTAAAGTATATACTTAATATTAACATTAGTTCATTTTAACAAATGCACTACATTATTGCAACATGTTACCACACTATGTCTGTGTGTTTCTTGGGAGTAGAAAGAGACCAGAATTCTCCTTTCCAGCTGTTAAGCCAGAGACTATCTTTACATGTTTAAAAAAAAATGTATGCTTCACTTCTGGTTAGCAAACCAACATGCTAATGGACTATGTAACTGGAGTTCCTTTGTATGCTTCAATTTTAATGATGTTAGTAGAAAAGTAAAACCATTACCTTGGGTGTGCTTCCTTTAATGAATTTTTTAATTGAAGACAATAAGCCAGTTTCATTTTTTGGTGGTTTCTCTCCTCCTGAAGGTAGGCTATCATCAACGTCTGAGTATTTCCTCTTTGCTCTGGCAGTACGTTGTGTTTGGATTGGATTTGACTGCTGAGAAGCTTTCCGTGTTCTCAGTCTCATCTTTTATGGGTGCCACATGTAAACCTGTAAGAGAAAAAGAACAAGGTTTATTAAGATTATACCTGTCATGCTCATTATTATAGAAGCCTGAGTGGTGCAAACAGCTTACAATTGGCTGCAAGCCCACATGTTGATGGTCCTAACTTGTCCAACAGATCTGTACAAGAAAGGCTTAGCAAAGTGTTTCCATGAAGATTCCAACAAAGAAGCAAAACCAAAAATCCATGGAGCAGTTATACTATGTAATATCCAGGTCACCATTAAATCAAAAGTTGACAGCTAGATCTTCCCCCACCAGTGAAGAAGACACAGACATTCCCTTGGCCCCATGAAAAAGAAGCAAGAGAATGTAGGATGCCTTTAGAGACAGCAGGACCATGCCTAAACTAGAGACCTGATGTGAGATGGTATTTTCAGACTTCTACACCATTGGAACAGGACCTAAGAGTCTTTGCTTGAGTTTATTGGAAAACTGTAATTCTCAAAACTGAGAACTTTGTAACAATGGTCTAAAGCCATGAGGCTCATGGCTGAGGTGCTTGGGAGCACAGTTTGGAAGCTGTCCTGACTGTATTCTGTTAACCTGGATTATAATATTTTGATTTTTAAAAAAAGGTTGACAGCCAACAACACTCAAATTATAAAAGTAGTGAAAAACTATATACAATCTGCAGAGAGGAGGAATGTCCTCTCTGGTGACCCTCAGATGCAGGGAGCTGCACTGCTAATCCAAAAATGGCACAACTCTGGCTGTTTAAATCCACTAGCAGCTCCATGAGAGAAAGATAGGCAATCTCTTCCCAAGCAATTTATAGTACCTGAAAACCTACTGGAGGGTCAACTATGAATGGGATCCAGGGCAACAGCACTTGGGGGTGCAGAGAGAAACTTTATAAAATTCTCTTGGTTAAAAAAACAAAATACATCATGTCACTGAGAAACGAAATAAAAAACTAATATTCTAAGTGGAGAGCACTGTGCTTTGTTTATATATTTTCTTTCTGAACAAACACAAATACTATATTCTGTGATTTAAAGTAGAACAAACAGATAAATGCTTTCTACAAATTATGTGCCTCCATTTATTCTGCTATCATCACTCATTTAATCATTCACTCAATAGGTACTTATTAAAAACTCAGCGTATTCTAGGCACTGGGCAAGAGAAATATTGAAAATATAATAGTTTACAGAGAGGGAAATTTTTGCCCTTCTGGAGTTCACAATGTAGTGAGACTATCTTCCATGAAAAACTTACTTCCATGTGTACAGATTCTAATGCTCAAATCACATTGTAAATTTAACAAGAGTGGTTATAACATTTTATGGGATTCTAACCTCATAGTGATACTTTACAATTGAATTCACATCAGAAAGAAAGAGGCTACGTACTTAAAACCCTCTCATTTTATAGAGGAGAAAATTAATGGCTGACAAAATTGTCCAAACATTTAGAAATTGTTAAGGAAAGACCCTGAACTGGAATCTGGGAAGCAAACACCATCAAACTAAGATTCAAGAGATGTCAATCACAATCCTGTTTGGTCATAGTTAAAACCACTGAATTATGGGTGTTTGTTTTTTGCTGCATATGTATTTATTTAAAAAACAAAATACCTTTTTTACCTTAAAGCTCAAAATAAAGTATTCAAGCTCACTGAATGATCAATCAGCTGTGTCAGTTCCAACTCAACAGTACATAATAACATCTATAAGAGGAGGGGAGTTAGGGTGGCGACTGGTAAGGAGCTGCACCACCAACATATATATATGTGGCTTGAAGACAACAGTTGTTCCACGGGAGAAAAATGGGCAGTCAACTCCCATGTGATTTACAAACTTTGAAAACCCAGTGGAAGGTCAGCTATGAGCTGGTTCTGACTTGACAGTGCATAATAATAACATCATCATCTATAGAAGGAGCCATGGTGACACAGTGCTTAACATGTAGAGCTAACAGAAAGGTCACTGATGCAAATGTATCAAGTATTCCAATGGAGATAGATGAGCAGTATCCTTCTATAAAGATTTACCACATCAGAAATTCAATGGAAGGTCACCGTACATAAGAACCAACTCAAAAGCAGTGGGAATAAATGTTGGATTAATTCTTTTACTCACAATGTCTAAAAAAGAAAAACATTTTATCTAGCAAACACATACAGAATTTTTAAAAAGCAATGTTAATAATTAAAAAATATTTTCAAACATCTAAATGTGGTCTTTCTCAACCTCCTTACTTTCAGATAAATTATCTGTCTTGCTTTCTGGACATACCTTTTCTAGTAAGTCCTGGATTTGATCTTACAAAAAACCCCCCAAAACAAACCACCCAACACAACAAAACCCCAAAACAAAAATACCTTAAATCTGAACCTACACTAAACAGAGGATTATGAAATATAAACTAGACAGTTTTATGAAGTAATGTACTGATGTAGAGTAGGTTATAAAAAGCTAAAGTCATAGAAAGTACTCTATTATTGTAAGGTTGACTTCATTAAAATTTAAATACTTATTGGGCACCTGTTATAGGTGTAAAAGATGAACAGGATAATCTTTGCCCACAAAAAAGCAGAGTCTAGCAGCTAAGTTCACAAACTTACACTACATACTGAAAATAGTAGGGCAGGTATTATTCCCAGGCAAAAAGACCTCTCAAAAAGGTTAAGTACTTTGAACTAAAATAATCACTAACAGTTACTCATTGGAAAGTAAAACGAAAGAGCTGCAATGTGGAACGTTTCCCCCTTTTGCAACAGAGGGTTGTAAAAGCTGTATAGAATAGGTCCCATGGGTGAATTGTGGAGGAAGCTGCACTGCTAACTCAAAGTAAGAACCTCTCTGGTAACTGAAACTGTCAAGTGGTTCTGAGGGAAAAAAGATGAGCAATTTCCTCCTACGTGATTTATGGCCTCTGAAAATCCACAGGAGGTTGTCAATTATGAGTTGGTTCTAAATCAAAGGAAGTAAACTTGTGTTTGAAGGGGGTTGTTGTGTGGTGACTTCAAGTTGAGTACGATCCAAAATGATTCTATGAAAAACAGATCTGAACCCTGTCCTGTCTTATGCCATCTCACAATATCTGGCATGTTGTTGTTGTTGTTGTTATGTGCTGTCCAGCTGCTTGTAACTCATAGAGACCCTATGTACTACAGCTCTGAACCCTGCTCGATCCTGAGCCAACTTCATCACTTCTGATATGGCTATTCACATTATCCCAGTTACTTACTTAGTCAATCCATCTCACTGACGGTCTTCCTCTCTCAGGCTGTCCCTCTACCCTCCCAAGCATGATGTCCCTCTCCAAGGAATTGTGCCTCAGGGCAACACACACAAAATATGAGAGGCAAAACTTTATTACCGCTGCCTCCAAGGAGCACCCTGGCTGCACCTTCTTTTGAAAAGACTTATTTTTGTTCTTTTAGTAGTACATGAAATATTCAGTATTCTCCTCCAGAACCACAACTCAAAGACATCAATTCTTCTGTTATCCTTATTCACTGTCCAGCTCTCAGATGCATAATAAGTGACTGAAAAGACCACAGCCTGAATCAGGAGCATTACTCCTTAAACTGACATCATTATTCCTCAGTAATTTGGGGAGGTCCCTGGCTACACACTTTTCCAGAGAAGTTTATCTCCTGGTCTCTTGACTGCTGGTCCCAAGGATGTTAACTGTGGATGCAAGTAAGACGAATGCATTAACAGTTTCAATCGTTTCTGTATCTATCACAACATCAATTAATCCAACGGGAAGAATTTTTGTTTTCTTGATATTAAGATGAAATCAATTTAAAGGCAGTAGTCTTTGATCTTCTGCAGCAAGCAAGGGTGTACCATCTATGTAATATAGGTTGTTGAAGGGTCTTCCTCCAATTCTGATGTCACATTCTTCTTCATAGAGTCCAGCTTCTCGAATAATTTGCTTAACATATAGGAGTGACATCCGCTTCCGAAATGGCTTGCCTCTGGAAACTCTACGAACAGTGTTCAAGCCTTTCATTCATAAGGTCGCTATGAGTCGTCTACGACTCGACAGCACCAAAGAAAAACAACACAACATAGATTGAATAGGTTATCAGGAGATAATACAACACTGACACATACCTTTCTTAATTTTAAACCATGTGGTATTCCCTTGCTCTGCTCACACAACAGCCTCCTGGTCTAAATATGTTTCCTATGAGTACAATTAAGTATTCTGGTATTCTCATTCTTTTCAATGTCACCCATAATTTGTTATGACCCATTGAGTCAAATGCCTCTGCATAGTCAATAAAGCACAAAAAGACAGTGTTCTGGTATTCTCTGCTTTCAGCCAGGATCCATCTGATATCAGTAATGATATCCCTCGTGCCACAACCTCTTCTAAATTCAGCTTGAACTTCTGGCAGTTTTCCTTGCAATTTTTAAATGATCTTCAGCAGTATTTTCCTTGCATATGATATTAATGATACTTTTTGATAATTTCCACATTCTGGTGGATTACCTGGGAATGGGGACAAATATGGGTCTCTTCCAGTCAGTAAGTGAGGCAGCTGTTTTCCAAATTTCTTGGCATAGATGAATGAACATGTCCAAGGTTGTGTCTGTTACCTGACACATGTCAACTGGCATCCAACTGATTCATGGGGCCTTCTTTTTCTGGGGGAAGGGTCCTTATTTTTGAAGGGGCTAGAGCAGTCAAGTCTCTGTGAACTTTTAAAAAGTGACCAACACATTAAGAAAGCACTTTTCAATTACATATAGAATGTTCATGTAAATCAAATACATGAATTTTAAAACACTCTGATAAATTTCAAGATTAAAACCATCCAATGTTCTCTAATCACAAAGACTTTTAAGCCATTAACAATAAAAATCTAAAATAGTACAAAGTATTTGGAAATACAGATAAATCAAAACATTAAAAAATGGAATCAAAAATTGCTTTGACAGAAGAATGAGGATTGTTAGAGGGGGAGAAAAATCACAGTGGGTGGAGGGAAGGGATAAAAGAAATGGGAAAGATCCAGCAGGGA